CAGGCAGAGGCACTGTGTGTGTAAAGCTGCAGAAGGCTCATACCCACTGCCAGTTCACTTAGAGCTGGTCAGTGCTCCCTTCAAATTATACTGATTTGACCATTGTTTCCACTACCAAGTCCATGTCCCCCCACCCCCACCCCCCGCCTCCGTCACACACACACACACACACACACACACACACACACCCAGCAGTACATTCTCCAGCAGTACATTCTGCCCCCTCTCCTTGCCCCCTCTTGCCTGCTACAGCCTGTTCCCCTCACAGCTGCCAGAGGGCGCCTGTGAGCACCTGAGTCTGGGCACATCCCTCTTGTGCTCGGAATCCTCCATGGCTGCCACCTCACCCAGAGCAAAAGCCCCAGTCCTCCCCTAAGCCCACAAGGCCCTGCGTGCTCTGCCCTGTCCCTTCCCAGCCCTCACCTCCTCCACACTCCCCCTCACTCACTCTGCTCGAGCCACCCTGCCTGCGCCTTACACATACCAAGCGTCTTCCCCTAAGGGCTTCCTTTGGGCCTTTGCGTTGGCTGTTCTCCCAGTCTGGAAGGCTGTTCCCCAATACCCACATGGCTGCTCCCTCCCCTTACTCAGGGATTTTTCACCTAGCTAGCCTCTCCGCAAGGCCTGCCTGCCTACTTGCTCTACAATCACAGCCCCTACGTCCTTGCCCCTTCCCTGTCTCTCTCCTAGCTCTGACTTCCATCCACAGTTCCATCAGATATTTTGCTTCTTTATGGTGATTATGTCTTCCTTCACTGGGCTGTCAGCCCCATGGGGACAGGGAGTTTGGTCTGTCACTACTGTGTCTGCAGCAGGCACTCACTGAATTTTTGCCAAATGCCTGGGAGAATGCAGGATTCACTTCTGTACCCAGGGCATAGAACTGGAAAAGGGAAGGAGGGCTGTGGCCAGCTCTGCAGCAACTTGAGTGCCGGCAGAAGATTCTAGAATATGTCACTGGGTGGGCTCTCTGAGTACCTCCAGAGAGTTTTGGGCAGAGGATGGATGTGGTCAGGTGACTTAGATGGGTTGGCTGGGCAGGAGCACCTCATCCTCTCTGTCTTTACTCTCTTCAACATCCATCCTCCTCCAGCATTCATGCTCCTTTTTCCCCTTCTCATCTCCTCTGCATGGGAGGTAAATCCAGCCTCCCAGCCTTTGCTGGGCTGTGGCCCCTTGTCCTTGGGAACCCCTTTCTCCCTTCTGCCTCTCCAAATTTTCCCTCCACTTCATTCATTTAGCACTGGCTCCAGAGTCTGTGGTATCTCCCTAGCACCTAGCACAGTGACTGGCACAGTTCAGATGCTCATGGGTTCTCAGTCCCAGAGGGAGGAACATTGAGCAATGTGGTCACTAGGGCAGTGGCGGCAGTGTCACGAGGCCGCTGCTCCACCATCTTCAAACCTGGAGGCACTTTGTATCTGTCACGGTACACCTCACTGCTCTGACAGAGACACCCCAGCATAAATACTTCTCAGCGATTGGAGCTGAGAAGACCCTCAGTACCCACTTCCCTGTCTTGGTGCCTCCCTGCACCCAGCCCTTTTTNTCTCTCTCTCTCTCTCTCTCTCTCTCTCTCTCTCTCTCTCCCCCTCTCTCTCTGTGATTACATCTCCCAAGCTCTCACTGGGAAGAGGCTTAATTAAAGCATGCCCGCTGACGTTTATTTAAAAACAACTAATTACCCTACTCGGCCCTATGCCGGCCCTGGGATCCTGCACACGCCACAATTAGTGCCCCGAGCCTGCCCGCCCACCCTCACCGATTACTCAATTATGGTCCCCATGGCGGGTCCTGGTGGGGGCAAGGGCAGGGTGATGAGGGAAGTAGAGAGAAGGAGCCTGCTGGCTTTGTCCCTTCCTCTGGGCCATGCCCCCTGCCTGCCTTTCCCAGCCCTATCTGGAGGGCACTGGCAGTGGACGCTGCTTCCCAGCGCCTGGTTATATAGCCCCACTCTTCAGAGACCCACAAAGGGGGAAGGGGCATTGTTCAGCCATGCCCCAGGGCCTTGGTACTGATCAAATCAGCTGGCACCCTCTGCTCCCCCAGTGCCCAAGTTTTCTGCCCATCGGGTCCTGCCTCATAGCCCCAGCTGGGCCAGGAGGGGCCACTTCCACCCTCAGACCCATGTGAGTGAGCCCTCCACCCCCGACCTGCCTCCCAGGCCTGGGAACAGCTAAAATTAGCTGTGGAAGCAGATGGTGCTAGAGGAACACATGTAAAACTTTCCCCCAAGTGAAACAAGTCACCCCAGAAAACCCCAGGGCCCTAGCTGCCATTCTCCATGGGCCCCCAGTTGACATTGGAGGGACCAGATATCAGAAAAGGGGCCTGCTTAGCTCTGCTACCATTATGCACTAGTACCTTCTCTTCATCTACAAGTGACAGTCCCCCCAACGTTGGAGCCTCCGGGGTACTCTGTGCATCCCCACTTCCCTCTGGCACCCTGTAGGCTGGGACCAGTGTCCGGGAAGTGGCTGCCCTGGCAGGCATGGACCGTGCCAAGCCTGCTCTGTCCTGCAGAGACTCGCTGCCTTAATCATCTTAATGAGAACAGTAATTAGCACCATGTCTCACTGAGAACCGCTGCACATACTGCACCCCTCATCCTGGCTCTGAGGTGGGAGCTGTCAGCTCCTTAGGGAAGGGAACAGGCACAGAGGTGGTCAGTGATTGGACAAAGCCACCAGCCAGGGAGTGGCCGAGCTGGGATTTAAACCCCTCAGTCCAAGCTCTCAGTCCCCGCATGGCACATAATGGGGGCTGACATGTGACAATGTGAACCCACCAGGAGCTGAGCCTGCCTAGAGTGTGTTCTGTCATTGCCACAGGATCCTGCGATGTTTCCCAGATGATAATGAGGAGGCCCCAACCTGTGGTGCCCTCGATATGCCCAGCACCATGCTCAGTGCTTCCTTCACAAACATCCTCTAGTGCATGGACTCCTCACAGTACAGCCCTGGACTCTGGGCGCCCATTTTACAGATCAGGAAACTGAGGCCCGGACAGCAGTGTCCAAACTTGAGTGTAGAGTAGAATTGCTGATGTAGATCCAAAGGCTCCTGCTTTACCGCGAGATCCTGATTTGGCTTGGGTGGGGGCCCACGATTTACATTTTGAACCAACTGCCATCTGTTGCTGTTGATCCCTGGGCCACACTATGAGAAGCCCTGGCCTGTCAGCTGGGAAGTGGCAAAGCCAGGCACCATGGTTTCTTCCAGAACATGAGTACTTTCTCCCCCCCCCCCCCCCCGTCCTGCCCAGTGCCACCTTTGCCCCTTGGATGGGTGGTGTGAAGTTAGAGAAGTGCCCAAGATCACCCTCACTTCTGACACTAATTGTAATTCAGGGGACCCCAGACCACCCCAGGTTTGATGATTCACTAGAAGGATTCACAGAGTTCAGAAACGCTGTTAAACTTATCGTTGTAGTTTATTACAGTGGACTGATGCGGATTAAAATCAGCCAAGAGAAGAGGTGCATGGGGCAGCGTCCAGGAAAGTTCTATACGTGGAGTTTCCGGTTGTCCCCTCCCAGTGGAGCTGTGGACATGGTTCACTCTCTTGCAACACTGGGTGACAACACACATGGTGTACTGCCAACCTGGGACGCTTCCTTCAGCCTGGGCGTCCACCGTCTTTACTGGGGCTGTCATGTAGCCATGACTGACCGCCCCCACAGCTGACTGTGATCTTCAGCCCCTCCAGAGGTCAGCTGATACTTCATGACCCAAAGCTCCCACCCGAATCCACATTGTTAGTGTACTACCTTGCTAGGGCTGTCTTGGGGGGCTCAAACAACAGAAGTGTATTCTCTCACAGTGCTAGAGGCTGCAAATCCAAGATCAAGGCATCGGCATGGTTGGTTCCTTCCAAGGGCCGCAAGCGAAGGATCTGTTCCGGGTCTTTCTCTTTGGCTTGTAGATGGCCGTCTTCTCCTCATGTCTCCACATGGTCTTCCTCTGTGTGTGTCTCTTGTGTCCAAATTTCCTCTTTTTTATAAGGACACCATTTATATTGGATTAGGGCCTACCTTAATGGCCTCCTTTTAACTTGATTATCTCTGCAAAGACCTTGTCTCCAAATTCAGTCATATTCTAAGGACCTGGGGGTTAGGACTTCAGCATAGGAATTTTGGGTAGGGGGACACAATTCAGCCCATAACAACGCAGACTATTTGGCGTGGCCCAAGGCCCCTAGGTAAACAGACTGTCTTATCAGACAGAACATTCCAAGGGCTTGGAGGGCACCTCCCAGGAGCTAGGTTCCCTTTGAGAAGGTTAATGACCTTACTTACTATACAGGTGGGCACACTGAGAAGCCCATTTTACAGATGAATAAAGTGAGGTTTATATAGCCTGTGTCCTGGGTACAGCTAAGCTAGAGGAGGTACCTCCTCAGCGGGGTCTTTCCTCCCTTCACTGTGACCTGAGTGTGATGCCCTCACCTGTTCCCCACAGGCCTGAGCCGGGCTGGGCTCCCATTTGGGCTGATGCGCCGGGAGCTGGCATGTGAAGGCTACCCCATTGAGCTGCGGTGCCCAGGCAGTGATGTCATCATGGTGGAGAATGCCAACTACGGGCGCACAGATGACAAGATCTGCGATGCTGACCCTTTCCAGATGGAGAATGTGCAGTGCTACCTACCAGATGCCTTCAAGATCATGTCGCAGAGGTGAGGGCCCCCACCCGGCTCCTGAGAGGAGGAGTGGCATCAGTTCCTGGAGTCCTTGAATACAGTGCCTGTCCTCCACGTACCCCCTTGCCAGTGCACCCCGTTTCCTGAACACCTACTAGGTTACCAGGTGCCACGCAAGTAGTAAAGACCCAGCCCATCCCCTCCCCAGCCTGTCTCCCCCACCAGTCTATATCCCACCCCCTAACATATATGAGCCTAATGCTTCTAGAAGCTCATGCCAAGATTATTGGAAGGCCGTGGGGGCTTGCAATATAAAGGCAATAGCAGGACAGGGCGAAGCTGTCATGGGAACTGAGGGAGGGCCCAGAGGTCTGGTCAGGCTTCCCTGAGAAGGCGACATCTGAATACAGATGACACAAGTGCATAGGAGTGCCT